ACTGTTCAGTGCCTGTTAGGTACCAGGTGGTGTTCAGTTCTGAGAATGTGGTGCATAAGGCAGCGTCCTTGTGAAGCTCAAAACGCGTGGGAGGTGAGCACGCAAGAGGAAGGACTAACAGGCTATGGAGGACAATGGAATCGGAGGTAAGACAGTCATGAGGACCGTGCTGACTGTGACCTAACGTCCCTGGAAGATACCTGTTGCCAGCTGCTAGGGGTGGGGGTTCTTGTGCGGTGCCAGAAGCTGTTGGGTGAGAGCCTGTCTAATCTAGGCGGAGATTTCTTGACCAGAGCCTGTTGCCTACACTTGAACAGTAGAACCTGACTAAGGAGACGGACGCGACTATGAGTTAAGACTCAAATGCCAGAGGGACCACGGTTACTACCAGACAGTCCCCTACACTTCTAAAATTCTTTCTTGGGCTTCTTCAGAGGGACTGGTTGTGTCACAGCCTTTTCTCAAATTGCCACCATCTCCCCTCTACGCTAGACACTGAAGACTTCACCTATTAGTACTTCAAAGTGAGTCAGGCATGGTGCTGATGCCCATAATCCCGGCACTTGGGAGGCTGAAGCAGAAGGATTAATGTGAGTTTAGTCCTTTCACAATACTAACATTGCATTGTATGTCCAGGCCTAGAAACAAAACACCCCTGACTCACAACCCCCTAAGTGTGTGTCCCTTTTCTGTACACCTTTTAGTAAAACTCAAGAGAATGTATGTATTCAGTCCATTTTCTCATTGCATTCTTAATACTACTTTGTTGGTATCCAGGTGAGTCGCACATTGCCAGGTAAATGTTTTTCTGGCTTTATTCATTGGTACCGGGGATCGAACTCAGGTCCTTGTGCTTGCCAGGCAGGCAGTGGAACCACTGAGCTAAATCCCCGGCCCTTTCTGGCTTTAAATTACAGCTAGCATTTGAAATGACTGACTAGTCCCTTTTTCATCTTGGCTAAGAAATGCAAGGTGACAGAAAGAATTCCTGGGGATAGTTTCGTTTCTTGTGTGCCACTATACTACACTGATTCATTGACTTTCTATCTTCATGATTGCTGCTCCTCTACCTAAGTGATCTCATCCCATCCTATATTCACTGCAGTGCCCCAGTTTCCACTGCTAGGCCAGCTTGTCTGCCTTGCTGGGGTCCTGACCTCCCACCCAAACTCCTGGGATGCTGTCAGTAAGGTGCACCTCTCATGTGGTTCTTGGCAGCAATTCTTCTCATGCAGTTCTCCACAGGCAGTGCAAAGGCTGCACCTCCAAAGATAGCTTTCTTGGCATCTCCTCTGTCCCTTGCCCTAGTCCAAGCCGTCTAAAAGTCTAGCTGCTCCGTCCCGGCTGCAGCCCATTCTCCATGCGATCAGAATGACTGTACACTGCACGGCAGATCGTGGCCATGCCCTGCTTACCCTCCTCCCCGAAGGATGCATAGTGCAACGGAATGACAGCCCATGAGCTCTCCATGCTGTGCGCACCGCTTCTCGCAGGGCCTTCAGCTCGGCACTGCCCCGCCCTAGCGATGGTGGTCTTGCTGGTCTTGAACAAACCAAGCTCATTCTTCAAGCCTTTGTACACAACCATTGCTTTTCATGTTTCTTTCTGAGGCTAGTGTCCCCTTGCGCAGCCTTCTGCTTTAACGAATTGCCCTCTTCTGTTTCCAAAACAATTTTCTTAGTATTTTCCCCCTAACATTCTCTTGCATGTACTTCTCATATCTCAGCAGACCTGGGTTTGTTTTATTTTGTTCTTCTCTTCCCCTTTCTTGTTTACCACAGTTTACAAAGTGGCAGAGAGAAGGAGCTACCTGAACACTGTGATCAGTGCAGTCTGTGCCGGCAAATTCTCCCGGAGAACTGCCACTCAGTCCCCGGCAGCTTGTCACGGAGTGGCTGACCCGCTAGAGCGCTGGAGCCTGTTTCTGGGTCACACTGCGGACTTCAGGCCAAGATGCCCTGGAATTCAGCTCGTTGTGACCAGATCAGGGTTCTGGGAGGACTGTGGGACCTTGAGAGGAGAGGACTTCCAGGCGGAGAGGGAGGGCGTATTCCCTACAGCACCCCGGCCCTCTGGCACCACCTGCTGGCAGAGCCAGTCAGTGCCAGTACTTAGAGGTTGCCCAGGACGATCCTATAAACAGGGTCATTACTTGTACCCAGTGTGGCCACTCCGAGCACATGGGGGTGCCCACACCTCCCAGAGTATTTCACAGAATGGGGGCCATTCTTTTCTAAGAAGCCCTGACTTACCTGTGGTGAGTTAGCCTTAGGTTCAAATCCCATCTCCCCACTTGGGCTTGGCCCCTGGGGCTGGGGTTCAGCCTGGGTCCCAGGGGAGCCTGGCCTGTGGTGGTGTGGGGTGCAGATGAGGGTCCAGGGAGCTTTCTCCTCCACCAGTTGCATGTGGACACTACTTCCACCTTGACCCGCCACGGCAGCTGCCCGAGGATGGGACCAGGGCCCACAGGCCTTGCCCCAGCAGGCTCACTGGCGGTGAGGCGATTGTGTAGCTTTGTCTCGGGTCGAGGTCCAAGGATGGCAGAAGCGTCCTCTCTCCCACCGCTCCTCCAGCACTGTTGGCCGTGGTCTGGCAGCCGCGTGAAGGATGGCTGAGGGGGCGCCAAGTTCCTTCAGGAATTGCCACTGGCGCCACGCTAAGATCAGCACGTATACGCGTTGCCACGTCACTTCGTCCCGTGCATGAGTTGTGAGTGGCATGCAGGATGCAAATAATTGTAGTGTAGTGACTTTTATATGTGCATATTACTATCAAGATGGATGGTGTCCAGCATCTCACAGACTTCAGACGTCCCTCATCAGTAATTGCCACCTCTTAAAGGCAACCGTTATTGTCTTCCCTCACCCTAAATTAGCCTGGGGTCTGCGGGGAGCTATAAGTGGTCTTGTATCTAGCTGCTTTTGTTTAATATTGAGAGAGTCATCCACGTTACAGTTTATATCAATAATCTTTTTGTTCACTGTTGTGTAATGTACCACAACATAGCTTCATTTTTACTGTTGATGGATTTGTTATTTCTCATATTTGCTTAAGGATACTGCACTTTTTTTCGGAGACAGGATCTCTTTGTTACCCAGGCTGGCCTCCAACTCACAAACATTCTGCCTGCCCCTCCCAAGTGATGGGGAGTAGTACAGGCTCACATCCCCAGGCCCAGCTGCTGCTACGGCTTGGGTATGACGCGAGTGTGTCCACCGAGAGTTCCTGCCCTGGAAGCTTGGTTGCCAACACGGTGGTGGCAGGTGGTAGAGACTTCCTGAGGCTCCTTACTTCTTACATTATCTAGGTGCAAGATGACCAGGTCAGGGAGGCACTGCCCTTGAATGGGATTCAGGAACTCTCACAGGAGAGAGTTCATTCTTGGGAAGCAGCAGGTTACAAAGCAAGGCTACCCCACAGGTGTGGCCCTTCTCCATGTAGCCTGTCCCTTACCATTTCCCTGCCATGCTTTGCGGCAGCCAGGGAGACCCTTACACCAGGATATGCTCTTCGTGCCCTCCACGGGTCAGAATCATGGCCCAAGTAAATAGCCTTACATTATAAAGTACCCAGCCCTGGGCACTTGGTTATAGCAACAAAAATGGACTAATAGAGCTGCCACAAATATTGTTAAAATTACCTTTGCCTTTTGGTGGACATAAGTACTTCTTCCCTCCCTTCTTCCCTTCCTTCCTTTTTTTTTTTTTTTTTCTTTTCTTTTTTCTTTTCCTTTTTTTTTCTTTTTTTGGAGATAGGATCTCACTAAGTTAGCTGGGCTGGATTTGAGCTTGTGGTTCTCCTGCCTCAGCCTCCTGGAAAGCTGGGATTACAGTTGTGTACCACTGCTTCTGGCTCAGCATTTGTTTTTGCAGGGTGTACATCCAGAATTGCACTTAGTGAACCACTGTGTGTTAAAGTGTACTAAATTATATGCCTATAAACAATGTATGAGGGCTGGGGATTTAGCTCGTGGTACTGCACCTGCCAGGCAAGCACAAGGACTTGAGTGAGATCCCCGGTACCAAAAAAACAACAAAAAATATATGAGTGTTCCCTTTCCATACACTTGCCAACACTTAATATTGTCATGCATTTAAGTTTAGCCATATGGTGACTAAAAATAATTGTCATAAAATGCCTGTGTTGTCTCATTATTGTTATGAAGCTCCAACTTACATACAGGTAGACTGAGGCTCAGCCAGGGGAACCTATAGATAACATGAGATGCTAGCATCAAGTAGGGCTAGGGTTTTTTTGTTTGTTTGTTCGTTTTTTGTTTTTTGCTTTTTGTTTTTCTGGTACTGGGGGTTGTACCAAGGGCCTTTGCACCGAGCTGCGTCCCCAGCCCCTTTTTTATTTTTCAGTTGCCCAGAGTGGCATTTTATTTTTAAATGGCTCAGACTTATATTTCTGCCTCAGCCTCCTAGACTGCTGGGGTTATGGGAATGTGCCACCATGCACAGCTTGCACTAAATTTAAAGCCAGAATGCTTAGACTTGGGTGTACCAACATAGGAGCTCTCTTATTTTCTGCACTACTTTCCAGAACACTTACTTCCATTGGTAGCAGAACTATAGCCAGGTCACTCCCTGGTGAATTCAGTTAAGTCAGTGCAGGATCAATCATTTGAGGGATACACACAGTCAAGTTGACCCTCCACACCTCCCCAAGGTCACAGTGAAACATTCTTCGGGTCTCAGGTGGTCATGGCATGGTGCGGGAGGGCAGGGTTTGATGGTCATCACCATCTTCCCTTGCTGCTCTGGGACAGGCACAGCCCTCACCCCTGCCAGTAGGGCTCATTGCCTGCCTCAGTCACTTTCTCATGGCGGGACTCACTACCTGACACCAACAAGTTAAAGGACAGATTTATTTTGGTTTATGTGGTTTTTTGAGACGGGGTCTCACTATGTAGTTGAGACTGACCGGGAACTCACTATGTAGCCCAGGCTGGTCTCGAACTTGCAGCGATCCTCCTGCCTCAGCCTCCAAGTGCTGGGATTACAGGCGTGCGCCACTACGCTCGGCTTTGGTTTATGTGTTTTAGACATTTCAGTCCACAGTCAGCTTGAACAGTCTGTGGCAGGAACAGCGTCAGCAAAGCTGCTCACTTCCACTGGTCCAGAAGAAGACAGTGAAGGAAGGGAGCTGGGGAGGAAGAAAGGCCCTTCCAGGTCATGATCACAGTGATCCTCCCCTTCCGACCAGACCCCCACCTTCTAACAGCAACCCTACTGTGGCGCCGCCATAATCCAGTCACCTTCCAAAAGCACCGCCTCGGGGCACACAGGCTTTGGGTGGCATCTAGAAAGGATCCACCATGTCCTTCCTTTCCGCTGTGTTCACAGGAGTCTGCATCTGTGGCAGGTCTGTGGCTCAGACGGTGGGGTCACTGCTTCAGTGGTCTCATCACATCCAGAAGCCCCTTCCTGGCTGCCTCCCCTCTTTCAGTGCAGGCTCCTTGCGGGGCCGCATGTGGAGACCAGACAGGAAGAGCGAGGCCTGACCGGCCTCCGCGGAAGTGAGAAGAGAGGTGTGCGAGCGCTCACACGCTGCAGGGAGATAAGAACACCTGCGGGTAGGCTGTTTACCCGGAGCAGGGCCGTGGGGGGCGGGAGACAGGTGAGTCCTGTGGGATCCGATTGCTCGTGCCCGGGTCTGGGCGAAGAAAGCCACGGTGCGCCAGGCGCGTGGGGCTCTGTCCAAGGGAGACCCGAGGCCCCGGCCGCCCTGATTTTAGCTCATTTCTGTGTCTCCTTATTTTTCATATTTGCCACCCCTTGGTCCGGTTCACGCTCATAGGCTGCTTCCTACACCTCTACATTAAGCATGACACAGAGATGCTCTGGGCCCCTGCCTAGGCCCACTTACCTGCCACTTCTCCTTGACCACACCACACTTTCGGAACATAGAAGATGATTCAGACTTTGCTGCAGACCAGTGGACACTGTTCTCTACTTTCAGAGCCCTAAAACTATCTGCAGGCCCTCGCGTCTCCCTGTGGCTGTGCTGCGTAGACTGGGGAGGGACGGGCGGGAGCCTCTTCTGAAACATCAGTCGCTCATTGCAGTACTCCTCTCCGTTCTCGAAGTTCTTTATTCTCTCCATATTCTCTCTCCGGCCTTTTGGAACAGTGCCTCTGACATCACCACACTTCTCCCCAGCAGAGGGAGGTGAGGCTCAGGTGAAACAGCTCGGCAGAGATCCCATAACAGGGGCAGGCAGGCTGACTCCAGGGTGGCTATTGGAACAGACAGAGGTGACAGCAGGCAGCAGCCAGGACCTCTCCGACCAGGCAGGCGGGGAGGCTGGAATTTATGCCCAGAGCTCACTGACTGCCTCACAAGCGGCTGAGAAAGGGAATGTGAACCGAGCTCGGGGCCACAAGGTGCCCTTTAAGATACACTGTTCCTCCCAGGAGTCCGGTCAGTGTTGCTAGGAGTGAAATCGGCTCTGGGCCAGATTTTGCCCTGTAGACTGCTTGAATTCTGGGCCTTCGGTTACCCTGGAGGTAGTATGAGCAGCTGTGAAACAAAGTGTTCCTGGCATTTGAGGAGTGGGGCCCAAGCGAACCAAAAAAAAAAAACAAAAAAAAAAAAAAAAAAAAAAAAAAAAAAAAAAAAAAAAAAAAAAAAAACACCAAAAAACAAAAACAGCAACAACAAAAAACAAACCCTAAACAAAGTCTACGCTGTGACGGCAGGAGTGTGGCTGTGGCCAGAGCTGCAGCTGGGCTCCTCCCTGGGTTTTGCTTCCTCTCTAGAACAAGAGTCTTTTAAATTTTAATTTTATTCCATACCTCCCCTCCTGTCCCTCCCTGTGTGCTAAAGCTGTAGAAGAAGAGGTTTTGATTACATGGTGAGTGGCGAGCAAAGGAGGAACGGCTTGGAGCCAGGGCATTCTGCTCCCACGGAGGGGCGATTTGAGCCAATCCTTCCTTACCTGGGCTAGTGATTGGGGAGAAATGAGTGGGGATAGGTGACCCCACCTCTCTGTCCCCCACAATCCTGCCACCACCTTGGTCTTGAGTGGAGGGTGCAAGGCAGGGTAGAGTGAACCCAGAAAGCAAGGTGCCGAACAAGTCACCTCTGGCAAACCCTGCCGGCTCCTCTAGCCAGGGCTTGATCCCTGAGCCCCCACTGACAGGTGTCTCACCTCACTCTGGGTTTAAGAATCACCTGGAGGGCTGGGCGTGGTGACGCACGCCTGTAATCCCAGCACTAGGGAAGCTGAGGCGCTGAGAGTTTGAGACCAGCCTGGGCTACATAGTGAGTTCCAGGTCAGTTTCAACTACATAGTGAGACCCTGTCTCAAAAAACCCAAAAAAAAAATCACCTGGAGAACTGGCTTTATTTAAAAGACAGATAAAACTCTCCCATTAGAGTCATTAGATTGAGCTTGGACTCACAAATCTGCCCTTTCCTTGATCTGAGGCTCATTTATTGTTTGTTTCTTCTTTTATTTATTTTTACAAACCTTTGAGGGGGTTTTCCGTGCTGTGGTGCTAAGGATTGAACCGAGGGCATTCTACCACCGAGGTCTATCCCTTAGCTTCTGTGTGTATGTGTTGTGCCAGAATCTGTGTTTCCCTCGGTGGGCTCAAACTGGTGATCCTACTGCCTTAGGCTCCTGAGTAGCTAGGCTTACAAAAGTGTGTTCCACTTTGCCTGGTTTAGACTTTCAATAGATTGCAGCAAGAAAACTGCTCTACCAAGTCCTAAGGGCTTCCTTCCCTCATTTTCTTTTTCTTCTAAAACAGGGCACTACCACACGTAGCTCCCGGCTTTTTTTTGAGACAGGTTTCATTATGTAGTTCAGGCCAGCCTTGAATTCATGGTGATCCTCCTGCCTCAGCTTCCCAAGTGACAGGATTACAGGTGTGAGCCACTATGCCCAGCTCCATTTTTTTTTCAATTTATTTCTTAAAGGTAAAAATGTTTAATATGTATGTAAAAGAAAAAACCCAGAAAAAAAATAATATGTAATGCATTCATATGGATCAACATCCAAGAGGCAGAAAAGGGTATAAAATGAAAATTCACCCTAATCCCTGAACCCAGCCACCTAGTTCCCTTCATTGAAAGCAACCAATTTCTTTTGTAATCTGTATCTTAAACAGCATATACAAGTTAAGGGAAATCACCATTTTGAGCAGAGGTGCTGAGCATTGAACCGAGGGCCTTGTGCATCTAAGCATGTGCTCTACTGCTGACCTACACCCGCAAGCCCCAAACCTCCATTTTTATTTTGTACGGGAGATCGAACTCAGGAACTTGCGCTTGCAAGGCAGGTGCAGGGACACAGAGCTAAATCCCCAGCCCTAGACCTCCCATTTTCAAAACGAGCGTCCCTTAGTGATTCTCAGATACTTGAAAAAAACATGGTATCAGGTCGAGGCCCCAAGTTCGATCCCCGGTACCAAAAAAATAAATAAAAAATAAAAAAGCAGATGCCATGTTCTTTTTCTTTCTTTTCTTTGGTATTGGGGATCGAACTCGGGACCTCGAGTTTGTGACGCAGGCGGCGGCACCACTGAGCTAAATCCCCGGCCCCGTGGCATCTAGCCTGTGCCGGGCTCTGGGCTGGGTCCTCAGGTAGTTGTGAAACCTGGCACCGCCTGATCCTGCTCAGGATGCCTACAAGCTTATAAGGCCCTGCACGGGGGGCCTTGCCTGGGTGGCCTGGGGTGCAGTGGAGGCAGGGCTGTGGTGCTGAGAAAAGGTGGAGAGCTATGCGCCTTTCATCTCTGTCATCAGCTGTGCCACCTGGCAGACACTGGACACCACAGCTTGCAGATAAAGACCAGGTAACTCAAGGAGCCACTTGCACAGGCCCATTCCGGAGGACTTTAGGTCTCTGGTTTCTTTGGGGGCCCCTTGTGGAAGCGTCTTTTGTCTTCCCGGTGTCAGGAATACTATCACATGCCTGTTAGCTGAGCGAGCCAGGCGCCCTGACTCCTAGGGAGGGGATGGTACTGTTCCTCAGGCAGAGCCGGGCTGAGCAGTTACACAATCCCTGACTAGGGTGAGGCCAGGTAGGGCCCTTCAGACTTTTCCCTTTCCTTTAGAGCTGCTTCATCCTGTCGACCTTATCACAGCTTCCTGGGAGCAGGCCGCACAACAGAGCTCTGTCCAGGCTGGGCCTGGCAGTGCGGTTCGCAGCCGGATGCTCAGCACGAGTGGGGTGTGTTGGGGGGTTAACACTTCAAGGGCTCGGTGAGTGTTCACTGAAAGAATGGCTGCTGGACAGCATCTTCTCTAGGCTTGGGGTTTCCCTACAACATGCGCTGTTTTGGCCCTGCAAGCCTCAGAGAAGTCAAGAGTAGGGGGGAAAAAAAAGAGATACCAAACTATGCAGCAAGGTTCAAATCCTGCTCTCTACTTAACGGTTTGGGACCTGTCCCCTCGTTGGTGAAAGAGGAGAAAAGGTAACATCTCACCCCTCTCATGGAGAGTGAGGGCACGGCAGGACGTGTCCTTTGAGTAAAACACCCCCCGACCGACCCACACGACCCCCGCATCCACGCCCCATCTTGTTTGTTGTTTCCAGGCTTCTCCTGGGGTCCTTCTCTGCGCTTAAGACAGCCCCTGCCTGAAAGACCCTTCCGAGTCGCCGAGGTAGTCCAGCCGGTCCCTGGCGCCGGTTTGGGAGGAAGCACCATGCTTTCGAGGGTGGGAGTGAAAG